GGTGACTTCACGATCTCATGTAAAGGCCCTCCTTCTCCTTCTCACTGACAAACATAGAATGTCGAATCACCATCGATTCTCCACTTTACCATATGCTTCCGCTCGAGAGACTAACCGGTTATTATCTAAACGAATATCTTACAGTTAAATACATTAAAAACACAACAAGAAATCTTTAAAACTCCTTTTTGCTGCAGACGGGAAGACTTTCGCAATTCTGCAGTCAACTGTGAGTAAGTTTTTAAATTTGTTTCGACATCGATTATAACGATATATTCCCCGATTATAACGAGATTTTTACGTAATTTTGCTTGGAACTGTATGAGGATTGTACGAGTATAGGATATATCTGATTGATGACTATTTCTCTCTGATCTTCTCTTATGTATATTTAATTAATCGAACAAAATTAGATATTTTTCCGTTGATTGAACGTAGTTATGCAATGTAATTGTATACCTGCTAGTAATTTTAATTTAATACAGCTATAAAATAAAAAAAAATAGAAGAACACGTGTTTTCACAAAAACCTAGCATCTTTTGCTGTGATATTTTTCCGTCTCATTTGTATATAAAATAGATTATTAATGAAATTAACAACAAAAAAAAGGGAAGAATTATCCCTATGTCAATTAATCGTGATCACAGTCATCTTCAAATTTTAACTTATTTTTCATTTATTTTCAGGTTTACACGCACTTTGAATATTGTTGCACCTCATTAATTTTCTAGTCCTACATACGTATTCATGTATATGTATAGTTCAATATTCTGTTCAAAGATGCTTCAGTTGATGCTTAAGGTTTTTTATTTACTTTTAATTTTCTCTCCTTTCAACCATCCATCCATCCACCAATAGTTTGCGCGGTTTACCGCAATTCCTTTTTTAATCTAACCAATTCATATAAAAGACGACAAAATAATATAGCAATAATAGTAATAGCAGCAGTAACGATAATAATAATAATTGCATTGTGAACATCATTCGAATACAAAACTGATGAATGTTACAGGCACAGATGCGACTGATGGATGCAACTGCAATGCTAATTCAAAGCGAATACCTTTAATTTTATTTTGTTTTTCTTGTACACAATTTATTTTCAATGCAATTTATTTGTACTACAAAAATATAAAAAGTGGGATAGATTGTTGGTTCAAAATCATAAAAAGAGATGAGAAGAGCATCTTGAATTGAACATAAAATATTTGGTTTTTTTATGAAAGCTGCAACTCATCCTATATAGCGTTAATGCGTTAAAATTCACACGCATATTTTCTTTTCCATAGTTGCTGCCGTTATTGTTGTTGATTATTTCTCTTTTTTGTATTATCTATTAATATATCAAGTTGGTATATGTAGAATAGAGGTTCGCTCGGAGTGTTATCGCTGGTGTTGTCGTTGATGTTATTATTATTATTATTAATTTTGCTGTTATTTATGTATGTACTTATAGGCAAGTATACATGCATAATGTATAGAGTTTAGTTGGTTCATTTCATATGAAATATATGATGGACAAGTGTGTAATACGGTTGATTGCGCAAAAAAATGAAGTGAAAACAAAATAACGAAGAGAAAAAATAATCAAAACAAGCGCAAATAAAATAATAAAAGAGAAACAAAAACTAAAAGAGGAAAGTATAAAAATAATTTCATTTTGGTGTATTTATTTCCTGTTGTTCTTGTTGCTATTGTTAGTGTTAAAATTTTGTTGCTGTCATGCTACTGTTGCTATTCATATTATATTGTACTGCAATTATTCTTCAGTTATTATTATTGTATTTGTTTTTCTTCAATATTATTTAGTATTATTGCCTTTGCCACTGTTGTTGTTGTTGAAATAAAGTGATGAATTAAGCTGTCTCTTATGGTTGTTTTTTTTGTTTTTTCATTTTGTATGGAGATTCAAAGTGAATGTTGCAATTTTTAATTTATGATTTAAGTGACAAAATGAAAAATATGTAATTGTGAAAATTGAATTTTTTTTTTATGTTCATTTGTGATTTTAATGTTGATTTTTTTTTCGTTCTGGAATTTTTTTAATCTTTGATAATAAATTTTCAGTTTTATTTAGTTAATTCATCATCACTTTGAATTCAAATATGCACCCTGAATATGCTAATTTATTTTTTTTAATTACAGGCTGTTGATGAAAAGAATCAGTTGAATGAAAAGATGCTGATTTGAAAAAGCAGGCTACAGTGAATATTTAAATATATAATTAAAGAGTGTGCTGCATAAAAAATTTATTAAAAATCTAATTTAGTGTGAGTACAAATTGCTTTTGAAGAGAAGTTTTTATTGTTTTCTTCCTATAAGTATGCAAATCTACTAGAATAGTAAATAAAAAATATATTTTAGAGTGGTTCTGGACCGATTTCATGAACGAGCCGCATGTTTGTAAGCACACAATGTGAAACTTCCCAACATGCAAACTAAACAACTCTATAAATTTAAATTGTAGGAAATTCAAAATATAAGTGATATTGTGGATAATATATTTGTATGCTAATCACATGGTTTTCGTAGTTGAAAAATTGGCAAATGGATGACTGAGCAAAAGCTCATAATTAACGCGAGCAAAACTAAATATCATTAAAGTCGGTGTTGAATATTTATATAAATTAGAATGTAGCAGAATTTAAATATCTTGGTTTGTGAATTGATTCTTCTTTGAAATGGAACGTTCACACATGTAAAGTAAGTACAAAACTCGCAGGGGTAGCTGGAATACTAAAAGAGACAACTAAATTAATTTTGTAGAACGTCAAACAATTTGTGTTTTATTCTCTCCTTTGATGTCATATAAATTATTTAGTTAAAACATGAAACTTTTTGGAAAGCATCCTGTGAAGACGCGTACTGCTGGAGAGTTCATCAATGCCCTTGCAGAACGCCCTCCACGAAATTCTCTTCGCTTTCCTAATTTCTTTATTGTATTTCGTGAGTGGGTCTTTATACTCTTCCCACGAATCCGACGCCTTAGTCTTATTGAATAGCTTTCTGGTCTTTAGTCTAAGCCCTGAAAGCCCACCACGGGCACTTCCTATTGCTCCACCTCGACTTAGCGCGGGAGCTCTCATGGCAGGCACTAGTAATAGCCGCCGTCAGGGCCTCGCTGGCCAGTTCGATATCCATCACCGTTCTGACAGAACCAGGAATGGATCCAATCCCATCCATGAGGAGCGTTTCGAATTGACTCAATCCGTGGATTGGGGCCACGGAGACCATGAAATCAAACCTAATCTGCCTACGATCGGACATGGATGTTTCATTTGAGACATGCCATCAACTAACCCTACTGCCGATAAATTCAGTGCAAAGGGTGATGTCAAGGACCTCTTCCCTAATTGCATTTATGAATGTCGGCCTATTGCCCTCATTCATAACCATTAATTTATCGCTATATATAAATTCAAGTAGGCAATCACCTCTTTTGTTTATATTACTGCTTCCCCAGACGGTGTTGTATTTTGTTTATATTACTGTTTCCCACTATCAGTTGGAAGTTCCTCCTTCCACAAAAGTCCACAAGATCTTTCAGTTGTTCGTTTGGGTGGGCACAGTCTCCCGTGAGGTAGGACGAGCACACAATAAGCTCGGTCCATCAACCGGAAGACTTCACCTTCAGCAACGCAGAAGACTTCACCTTTGGAATGGGAAAATACGTTAGCCTTTTACTAAACAAAATGCAAACCCTAGGCGTGCCTCCAATAGGATTATCATACAATAGCTCACCTGCTAGGCCCTTAACCTGATCCATCACTATGTAAGGCTCTTGGATAAGGGTGATATCGAGGTGAGTAATACGGAAGAAGTTCAGGAAAGGTCGGAACTGCGCTTTCCGTAGATCTTTAAATCCGGAATCATCCAGGGAAAAGGTGATGGAGCAGCCCCCGTCTTTTTCCTTATCCATCCTCAGCACCCTCCAGGAACTTTAGGTAATTAATACATGCATGATTTCTTCTTTCTTCTTTTTAAAATATAACATTTGATTTGAAAACAATATCTTCCTCTTGCTGTATTCTAGAAAATCTGGTTGAATGAGATTGGAGGTGGATTTATAAATATTCCTATATGATTGGAATTTTATTTATTCCACTTATTTCTTGAATTACTCAAAGACTTTAAGTGGATTATATAAATAATATTAAAACGAGTACAAAATGTGCAAATAAATAAAAAATTGTTACCGGTTTTAAAATTTTTTTTTAGTCTTATTAAACGTGACAATAACAGTAGTATTAACAACAATTTAGCAACAATTTAAATATTATAAAATATTTTTTTAGAATTACTGTAATTACAAAAAACAAAAAATTTTATAGGTGATGCCTTAAAAAACGTAATTTAAGTACGAGTATAAATGTTAAAAGGTGATATTAAAAACTATAAAAGTTTTGTCAAAAAGAACAAAAATCAAAGAATTGAGAACTTTAAAAAAAAAAGAATTTTAGAGTAAAAAGTTATAACAAGTCTCTCTTCCTCTTGACTCTCCCCCCTCTACATCCATGCACAATTTTATTCTTTATTTATCAATTTTATTCTTTAGTGTTTGGTTCAAGGTAAAATTAAAATTTTTATTTTTAAAATTAATTTGATCTCAGTTGTGTTCACATCTTAAAAGCGAGTAATTATGTTTCCACTTTTCTCATGTTTTATAAAATCTTAATCAATATATTTAAGATTTTTATTATTATTAAATAGTATAATATTTCGATATTTATATTTTTATTATCATACATAAAATGTAAATTTAAATTAAAATGAAACACTAGTAAATTGTTTTTTTTTTTTCTCAATTATGAGAATTGGAGAGCATTTAGTAACAAATAATAATTAACCATATAAAAATGTTCGTAATTAAATATAAGTGTACAGTAATTAAAAATTACACCATATATTATATTTAATTAATTAATTTTGTTATAAATGTGTGTGTATAGAGGCATAATTAATTTTCAAATAAAAATAACATTAAAATTTTAGCACTTACCATTAACGTTGTTGGCGCATTTCAAAAAGAAAATTTTTTAAGGTTTTGATTCGCTCTTAAATCTGCAAAGAGAAATTAAAATTAAAATAAGAATAAGATTTTAGGTAAGATTTAGGGTGAATTAAAAATTTATCTTGTATTTTATAAACAATTTTAATAAAATTTAATATTCATTGTGACGTGAAGTGAAATTTAATGACATCTTGCGGTAGAAAATAATGATTAGTTTAAGTGATTCTAAAATTGTAGATGTTGCCATCGTGCCAAAAAATTTCATTAATTTTAAGATTAAAAATTTATTAATTAATTTTAAGGCAAATTTACTTTAAAAAGTTTAAGTAGTTGCATTGCGTTTTTTTGTGAGTTAATTTGGTTTAATCTGATATTGATAAGCAAAATTATCTTCCTTTCTTACATGCAAATTCTTTCTTTATGGGTTTACAAAAAAAGACAGTATTAACTGTAAAAGTTGCCAAAATTGTAGTAAATCAATTAAGGTATTAAACCGGATCTTAAACAAATTTATTCCACAAGTATAAAACAAATGTTTAATTTTATTTGCGGCACTTTCATCTTTAATAATTTATATTTTTATTGTCAAAATCGAATTAATTTAAATGAAACAAGCAATATTCATTAAAGGATTTAAAAGAAGTTTATATTATTGTTTCCCATTTTTTTTTTATGAATAAATCTTTACAGAGGGAGCTATTGTACCGACATAATACGCGAAATTAAATTTATAATAATAAAAATAAAGCGGTAAAATAAAGAGTCATAAAAATAAACAGCATTGTCATTGTGAATTTGAATTGTGACAAAAAAAAATATGACAAAAGAAAAGACAAAACACAACAACATTCACCTCATCACAAATGTAAAAATCAATTTCATAAATTTCATCTTATAATTTCCTTTTTGGCTCATTTGACTATCCGCAGTCCGCTTTTTTATTTGAAAAATTCGAAATTATTTTATTTATTTGAGTTTGTTTTTATTTTATACTCTTTTTCTTAAAAAACAAAAAAAAACACAAACCGCGCAATGTTATGATGGAATTACCATCCATCGATTGACGAATAGTACATCAATCGATTGTACGTTGGAGCGGTGCGGTGAGTGGTTTTGTTACGATTCTATAAGGCTATTCAAAAAAATTTTTTCTTTTTTCAATTTTCTTGTACTTATTTCTGCTCCGATTGTGTATATAAGTACACGAATATCGCGCAAAAGCGGAAATAACTTACGTTTTTTTTAGTTATTGTAATATTTTGTTTTGTCGCAACAAGCAAGTTCAATTTAGCGAATAATTGCGCAAAGAAAAGGGAATAAGTAAAAATAAGATAACAATAAAAATACAAATAAAAACTAATATTGAACATGACTGCGGCCGCTAAGTTGTGTTGTTATAAGAGGGTACTTAAATACTGTAACGGGCTGCAGTGTCGATTTTAAATGTTTTAAATTTAATTATATAATGAAAGAATAAAAAATATTAAAATTATAAAATAAAAGTAGATTTCAGTTTTTTTTGTTTTGATTAATGAAGTGAGCTAAAGATTTAGTAACCTTACTTTCCAAATTGCTAAGATGTAAATCGTCAATAAATAATGACAAAATTTTTAAGTTTCTAATTATACTTTACATTAACTTTTTTTTTTTTTTCCTCCAAGGGGACCAAGGCCCCTAGGCCACCCTCACGTCGACCCATAGGATCTTTTGTGATTCCCATCCCCCTACATTAGCTCTATTCCTAGGCCCCCGACAAACCTCAGTATGGCAGCCAAACCAAGCTGCGAGATCCTCCACGGGGACTTTGAGGGGGGGGGGGGGGAGCACCTCAGCCGTAGACGAGCAACCATCTCGAACTCACACAGTAAGCGCTCCATGGTTTCGTCCTCCTCCAGGCATAAACGGCAGACCTCATCCGCCACCCTGCGCATCCTTTTCTGGTGGACCCTCGTGAGGCAGTGTCCAGTGAGAACTCCCACTAATGTTCTCAAATTTGGACGACTGAGCGTCCCGGGGACGCACAAATTTCCTAGAGTGCGACAGGCCCAGGCAGCTGTCCCAGTGTTCACCTCTGGCCTGCTCCTCCCATTCACTGAGGGTACGCAAAACCGTTGTCTCCGGGTACGCCATCGCCTGCTCAGCCTTCTGCCACCATACGACAGAAGAATAAGTTACAACTGATCGAACAATTGTAGTGTAGGTCCAGTAGACCATTTTAGGTCTAAGACCCCACGTTTTCTCATATAGCCTCGTCGAATTCATAGAGCCCGGGTGACCTTAACTATGACTCCATCAAGATGAGACCCCAAGTTTAGTCGTTGGTCTAGGATTACTTCCAGATACTTGACCTCCTTAGAAGGCCTGATGTTTGTGCCTCCCAGGAGCAACGGGCGCACACTAAATTTCCGTCGTCTAATAAATGGTACAATTACTGCCTTTCCCGTGTTAATGCCAAGGCCTTCCACCTGCGACCAGTCCCATATAATGTTTAGGGCACCCTGCATTCGGTCAGCCACGACATCATCGTGCTGGCACCTCACAACAACGCCCAGATCATCAACGTAGCCCTGTACATTATACTCGCTATGAGACAGTTTGTACAGCATCCCGTCCACCACAATGCACTAGAGCAAGGAGATAAGACCCCCCCTGCGGGCAACCACGTATGACCCGCACTGTAATCTTGCCGCCTCTCACCCTGGCGGTAATATTTCGGGAGCTCATCATGGCCCCGATCCATCTCAGGGTGGGTGCCTCAATTCCCTTGCCTGTAGCCACCCTTATTATTGACTCAAAAGAGGTGTTGTCGAAGGCTCTCTCAACATCCAGGAAGACCGCAAGGGATATCTGCTTGGCCTCCAGCGTCCTCTCTATTTCTTATATTAACTTACAGTTAAGTCGAAAATATAGCAAAATTATTAAATTTTTCATGTATGCCAAGTAATTGTTATATGAATCCGTAATTGCTATACACATTCTTACCTGTTGTATTTTTGAAACTGCGGTTGAGGCAGGATTCCCTGAGGGCAAAATTCAAATAATTTGAGATCAGTAGAGTTTATCAATATTCGTCATCATAATACGACCTATGATAGAAACTAATTGCCATATTTGATCTAATAACTCTATATCTCTCATATCATTAACTCTAATTTCTTCTAAGTCTTCGCTACTCCTTCTAATCTTTTTTTCAAATTTAATTCTCGTAAAAATTTGGTTTTGTGATGATTTTCATATTTATGCTTGGTTTAAGAAATTTTTCTGATATAATTTAATATGAATGACAATCAAAAATACAAAAATATGTTTCTCAAATTAGTTCCGTTCTTAATACCTTTAAAACCAAAATCCGAATGACCCTTTTTTAACTTACTTTACGTATGTAAAAATTAAAACGGAAATCTACGCACATTTATTTGCATTTGATGTACGAGCTTTATGCAAATTTAAAAATACAATAGTCTCATCAATTTCTGACAATTTAATAAGGATAACAGTAATAACGACAGTTAAAAAAGAAAAAAAAACAACAAATGACAACAAAACGCTCACCATGAAAATTATTTACATTTTTTTTCAATTCCAATTCTTTTCATTTGAAATTAGAGTTAATCATGGTTATTATAATGGTAAAAGTGAAATGCATCATTAATATAATCCAAAATTACATATATAGGTGGCGTACAATCAGATTAAAAATATTAAAATCTAAAAATTTATGGCATCATTCTGTCATTCAAAGATTAAAACCAGTAGTATAAAAAAAATATAAAAATTAACAGTATACATTTTTTTTGTGTTATTTAAGTGGAAAATCGAAAGTGATAAAAAATTTCACTTTTGCATATACACACTCTACTCTCATCCTATAAAACGGTGCTATATAATTACACATATAATGTAGATGCTCGAAAGAAATTCAATTTTTAAATAAAGGTAGGCGTACTACAAAAAAAAAATATTGCACATCACATATAATTTTCATTTTTCTTTTTGATTGATAGAAGAGAGTGTGATTTCTTTTAAGAATTTATTTAAAAACGCAAAAAAAATTGAAAATTTACACACAATGATAAATTTAGATTCAAATAAAAGATTTTAAAAACCGAGATTAAGAGAAATGTTACTATCATCTTACATTTTGTAATATTTTTCAGGTGATTGACAGGAGAGAATTCATTTTTCATGTTAACCGCATCGTTATTTTGTAACTAATATAATATTTTTAAATATCATCGTTATTTATTACGCGAATATACCTACTTATAGTTTTACTAATTTTCCTATTCAAGAGAGAACGTGCCTTAAATGTTTAACGAGTAGATAAAGATTCTCACTTCAGATATATTAGAATTTTAATTTATTCAAAATTGTACAAAATAAATGCGACAATATTTTGCGCAACTTTGAATTATTAGCCCTTAATCGCTTTTGTACAAAGAATTCAAAATTTTGGGCCAGTCAGAAATGTAAATGATAAAAACAATGATGGCTGGCCTCTCAGTTTTAAAGGAATATAATTATTAAATTTTGAATTTACTTTGAAGGACATTCAAAGGAGAAGTGAATTTTCGTTCGAAAATCAACATTTGAAATTTAGAGCGATCACACCCCTTTAATATATTAAATAATGTCGGTATATAAAGAGTATGGAGAAATTTTCTTACTGTTATAACACCATTGATATGATGGTAAGAGCAACTTCATTGCTTAATTGCACCAATTTTAAAATTCTTTTAGGTAGTAGTAGTAATGAGAGGGGGACGCCGCCCGGTCAACCACACGGAACTTATGCACTAGATCAACACCGATAACCCTCAAATTAGCACTCGACAACTCTCCATGTACTTATAATACAAACCACAAAGTCATCTACCGGAGTAAATCAACCTCCCTACCATATCTCAAGAAAAATTTCCTCAACAGATCTCAAGGATATGACATCTTCTATATCAGAGATGGACAAGCACAAAGAACTTATTCCAGGACCTGCAGCTCCGCCTGACACCTCCGACAAACATCCTTTGTAGTTCTATTCCTAGCCTCTTGA